CACCCCCTAGTACGTAAATGTGTCGTATGTATCGTCGACGAGGCATCTAAATCTCTAAAACCCTCATCAAAAGATGTCCTCCCCGGAAGTTTTTATCCAAAACACTTAATGTAGAAAAGGAGGAGGAGGTCATGAAGAGCTCTTTTTAGAAAATATATTATTATTTGTAGCATCATTTCGGAGTAATAATAAAAAAGGGAATTGCTCATTCTCCATGCTTGATCGAGTTTTGGAATTTTTGTTTTGTGGGCGAAAAGTCGTCAGAATTCTTGAGCAGTTTCTGATCCCCAGAAATCGTATTAGTGGTGTGGAACGGCTATGATGTTATATTAGGAAACACCGGATAAGGAAGACCTAGCGGAGGTTGTATGTCACGTATAGTTGCGGGAAAAGTGTTCTAGATTGGTCAGGAGAAAAGAAAAAAAGTTTGGCCTCGGGCCGGATTGAACCCGCGTTCAAAGTTTAGAGAACGTCAGTGTTAGCCACAACGCTACCGGAAAAGCTCTAATTATCAGGGAATCAAGCAGCCGACATCAATCAAGCTCGCCACTATCCCCAAAACTCACCAATCCTCCATAACTTCCACTGTGATGATAGGTGGTCTTGACGGTTTCTCCAATTTGACGCAACGGTGGAGAATGTGTGGTGCCGGTGGTGGTGGACATTGGCGGTGGCGACATGGCACGCATCTGTTGTGGATGATGGCGATACGTGTCTGGAGCACTGTCCATCGACGATGGCGAACGTTGTGGATACGTGTTGTAGGAGCGCTCCTGGAACAATAACTTCTAGTTTGGTCGTTGAACCTATTGTAGGTCCATCCCATGAATTCATAAGATCATTTCCGGTTTTTTTTTCTCTCAGTATAATGGGTCCCTTCTCTATTCATAGGGGCTGAACTTTTTTATGAGTAATACGCCCTCACTTTTTTGGCAACCCCTTAGAATTTTTTAGAATTTTCTAGTCCTGGAACTGGACCTGCATTTGACGTCATGTCAGGAACATAAAATGTGAAGGAAGGGAAGAATTGAAAAATGCAATTAGTGTGATGGAACTTTTTGTACTTTCGGAAGATTGGAAGTGGATTCATTCGTAGAATTCAGGTCGGTTTCGAAAAAAAAAAAAAAAGAAAAAAAGGTTCTGGCGCCAAGTGGAATCGAACTCGCGTCTAAAATTTTGAAAACGAAAGTGTTAACCACTGCGCCATATGGACAAAATCTGTATGACCGTACTGGCATCCGGGTAAACCGCTAAAAAAGAGAAAATCCCGCAGCCGACACCAATCTAGGTTGGAGCTGAGCCTTGATCATAGGAAACCCTACAACCTAGACCACTACACGAAAAAATTTCCCCATACGTCATAAATATTCGATGCGTGTTTATTATTTTTTGTTGTGCTCTCCAAAACTTTTCGCTTGTTTCCCTGCAAAAGTTCTTTGTACTCATTCTCAAAAACCACCCACAACACTCAAAGAAAAATCTTTGAAAGTGCGTCAACCCATTGTTTCTTTCGCCCCGTTCATTCCACTTGAATAGGCCCCCAGGAACTTTTCATAACCAAGAGAAATATGAAAAAGGCCTAAAATCTATCTTCCTGGTTTAAAAATGTTTCAACACCCCCCTCCCGGGGAGTGATAAATGACATGCTCTTTTTCCTTCTTCGCTCCTTGAGCCCCCGGAGAAGGGGAGTATAAGAGAAAATGTTATATTTATGTGTATGGACGTTTTATGTTTACACACACATGGATTTGCATTTCTTGTCGGCGGGAGGGGGGACCTCAAAAGATGAAACATCTGATTTGTTGGGAGGGGAAGGAAGGAAGTCGGAATGCGGTTGGGACATCAAAAAGTTTCAAAAAATTGTGGTTTTGGGTCCTTTCTGGAATTTCAAAATTCCTGTGTCCTCCTTGACCTACACCCTCAATTTTGAAGAGTGGAGGGTGGGGTTCAAGTATAGAATACTTCAAAAATAAATGTAGGATATTAAATTTCCGCTCTTCTGGTATTTCAAATAAGCACGTCCTCCAGACAAAAAATATTTAGCAGACCCATCCAATTCACTAACACATTATTCTAATTGGTAAGTGTTCCTCACTTTTTCCCCTCCGAAAAAAATGTTGTCAACAATAAGAGATGTGACGTGTTATTCACTCATTCATTTCCGAAAATTTATTTCAGCACCTGTCTCTTTTTTACAGGTGCAAATAGTTTTGTGTCGTAGTGGTAGTTTCAATTTTTAACCTTCCCTTTCCCTTTCAGTTCCAGCATGGAAATTCCAGCTAATTACTTTCCAAGAGCCACCAGACTGGCTGCAAGTGACAGAAGATGTTCCAGGAGTATTGGAAAAAGAAGAAAAGGAAAAACTGGGGAAAAAACAATTAGCAAGAAAAGAAAGATTAACTAATTCACTAGTTGACCCCAATAATCCGAACTCCCTTTTTCAAGAATGAACTCCCACTTAGTCACGTTTCGCTTAAGATAGTTACGATCCAACTAACCGGTGGTACGGATTGCGATCTGGCGGGTCTTCCACCACGTGCCGCCTCGGCCATATCAGCTGCCGCGATGACGTGTCCGTCGCGAAGAGTTGTGTGCAATTTCAGTTTGTTCTTCGACTGTTGAATCGCCTCACGGACGTCCTTGTCGGAGGAGACGATTACCTGACGGCCGTATTGGTCGATGAAGGCGAGATCGCCCTCGAAGTCGGAGCGCACTTCGTGCACTTTTTTGAGGAGAGCCTGGAAGGAAAATCGTTTTGATGGTGAAAGAATCTGGCAGGGTTTAGAATGAGCTGAGAGCGTATAAAATAGTAGAGCTATCAGTGATGTGCACTTGTATTAGAGAAGCTTCTAGTAGTGCTCAATAGAGCACATTTCCCTCATTTTCCGAACCTCTTTTCTCCAGTTTTTCATCAGATAAAATGGGAACTTTAACCCCCCTTCCCATCTAACTTGAGACTTTTAATCCCCATGGCTCGGGGGCTATAAAAAGAGTAGAGTGATGGGGTCATTGTCCAAGGGAATAAAAAACGAACTTTTAGAGAACAACTATCTCAGGAAATGGAATCATCTGATTCTAGACAAAAAGATCAGTGACAGAAGTCAAGCTTTTCGATTCTAGACAAAAAGATCGGTTACAAAACCACTGGATAAAAAATTAGTTCCGTGGGAAATCTATCCTCAGACTAAAGATTCCGTGAATCAGGTGGAAATTGGGAAATAAAGAGAAGGAGAGAGAGGTGCGTGGGAACAATGAATAGTCATGGAAAAAAACGAATTATTTGTCATAACTCGAGAATAATTTCGGGATTGTTTTCATTCTTCGTGGGAAAATTCTAGATGGGTTCAGGCTTTATACCGTGGAGTACGAGAGCTGTTCTGGTGGGAAATAGAACAATCTAGGCCATGACTGAATTTTGATTTAGGCCATCAATTGTGGTTTTTTAGGCCATCATACTAGTTTTATAGGCTACAATTTCAGCTTCCTAAACCCCTGATTCAGTTTTCTAGTCCACCAATTTGGATCCTAAGGTCATGCTCAAACTACAAACTCCCTGTTCCTTCATGAATCACTTCAATACCTCCCACCCAATTTTTTTTTCGAAATCCTCTCCCCAGACAACAAAAAAAAACAAAACTCACGTCGTACAAATCCGCGTATTCCATCTCATAATCCGAAAATCTCAACGCGTACTTCTTGCCGAAGTGGTTCCACTTCACTTTTCTTCCGCCGGAGAACATGTTGAAACTGAAAATGAAAAAATAATTCAGAATTCAGAAAATAAAACAGTGGTGCTCTTTCATCAACACAAACTGATGCCCGTTAACTCCCCCTCCGCACGGCTCTAACTTCTCGAAAGTGGGCGGAGCTTCTGAAGGGGGAGGATGCCACGCCCCTCATCGGGTGGTCAAAAGGGATAGAGGAGAAAAGAAGATATGAACTATCGTCATATGACTCATTTTTTGATTGAAAATTGAATTTGATTGGACAATAAAAATTTTGGAAGTTTTTTCCTCCAATCCGGAAAGTGCACATAATTTCATTTTAGAGCTGAAATTTCGAAATCCATAGTACCCCCTTCAACCAATTGAAAACCATCAAAACAAGGTAGGTAAATGGATAGGGATATGCCAGAAAAAAGTATCAAATATCAGCTTTCGGTGGGAGGTAATAAGGTATATACTAGACTTCGACATCAGGAACAAGAGAAAAAAAAGGACCAGGAATAATTGGAAAACAATGGAAAAGAGAAAGGACGTTCCGTTCGACAACAACAAGGGTGTGAAAAGGTCTCGTCTGGAAAGGGAAAATGTTCCAGAAAAGTCCTACCGTAATCCTTTTGGAGCATCAAAACACACAGAAGATGTTTTCAGTGGTTTTTCCCCGAAAAATCTCATCTAATGAGCTTTTTAATAAAAACAAGGGAGCCTTGTTAATGAAAAAAGTTGTATTTTTTCCTTCGTGCTATTCCAAAAATAATACCACTTTTTTCGATAGTAGGCAAAACAAAACATAAATAATGAGGGTTCTTAGAAGACAAGGACCCCCCAAAAATAAACCAATAGGATTACTTTTACCTGTTTACGGAAAACTCTCCCGGAGATGACGTTTTGGACTTTTGACAAGATGCTTTTAGACAAGGTACGGAGCACTTTCAGAGTTATTTTTCGGAGATGTCAAGAAGGAATAAGGAAATTCCAAGTGTCATCCGCCTACTGGTATGACGTTAGGGTACTGTCTAACTTCACGAAGAAATAATAAAAAGGTATTGGCGTGGGTAGGAATTGAACCCGAGCCCAAAACCTCGCGAAAAGTGGTGTTAGCCACTAGACCACGGAGCCACATTTGGTGAATGAAACGGGAGCAGAGCAAGAGAAAATCAAGCAGCCGACATCATTCCGGCTTGTGGCTCTGGGGCCTACAGAAGAACAGAGCTCTCGATAGTGCTTGGTTTACTAGTAGCAGGAGCAGACTTCAGATAAAAAGCAAAAAGCTTTTGGCTTTGGTGGGAATCGAACTCGCGTCAAAAATTTATGAATCATCAATGCTAACCACAACGCCACACCAAACTTTAGAAATGAAAGCGGCTGTCGGCGGGAACGCCAAATCTGAAAAAATCTAGCAGCCGACATCAACCGGGGTCGGCGCTCACCATTCTCAATGCTCAATAAACGGCTCAAGACTATCGTAATGCGCTCTGTTGATAATTGTAAACCTCATCTAAATTGAAGCAAACTGAGGCACCCAAAGCTAGCTGGATTTCGTCCAAGTTTCAGTACACTTCAAACCCAAAAAACCGGAACTTTTTTTTTCAAAACTCTGACGTAACCTAATTTCTCACGGTTTATGACTCAAAACTCCATGGGGGAACATGATAAATTGAATAGTTTTGCACTCCTATTCATAATTCATTCCCATGCACTATTTCAAAATAAAAAATTATCGTGAAGAAAGATTAATGAGATTGACCAAAATGGATCATTTCTTCAGGAACTTATCGTCATGGTAAAATGGGGGTGCAAAGAGTGCCGATTCTTGATCTACTTTTCTTCACGAAAAAATGTTTCAGCGGCCCCCTGTTAGTGCTCTATTTGTACCCGCTCAACCAGAAAATTGAGAAGAAGCCGGGACCAAAATTCGGCGGATAGCAAAAAAAAATGGAATAATTCATTTATCTTCCCCTCAAATTTGCTGGATAGATAGAGAAAAGATGGATATGAAGTGCAAAGTTTGTCTATAAATTATAAAATGGCATTAGGAGCAAGCACCGGGGGAGGGGGTACTTCACATCAATCTAGATATAATTTTTGATCCAAAATGACAGGATGTACTACAAATTCAGAGTTAAAAATAAATTCTTTTGAAAGGAAATTTGAATTTTTGAATGACGTGAAATGCACAGGATACACAGATCAACGTAAAAGTTCCACACGAGTTTTATGGGTTTTTCGGGAATAGGAAATGAGAAAAATGGATATGGAAACGTTTCGAGGTTATCGTGACGTAAATTTGAAACTCCCGGGGCCTAAACATAGAGTTCAAAAATTCAATAATTTGACCTAATATCTTCTAAAAACCACCGGAAATCCGTCAATCCCTAAACTTCCGGATTTCCCTTATCAATATCTCCTAATTTCTAAAAGTTTCCAAAAAACTTCCTAGTTTTTGATCTATGTGTGAAAATAAGTTTATAGTAGGGCACACCAATTGATATACCCTATTGAATGTTGCAGAAATGAATGCGGGAGAAATTGGATTTGGAGAAAAAAACCGGAGAGGAAATACGTCAGAGATCGGGTCGCCGCAAGAAAAGAGAGGGTGTATTTTGATTTTATCAGAAAAAAAAATTATTTTTTGGTTTTATTATTTTGTCATTATTTATGAGGCTAGAAGTCAGAGAATTCTTATGGATTTAAGGTTCTGTTCTTGAATTCCAGAATCTGAAGAGCTAAAGTTCATTGGAATCAAGACAAAGCTCTCTTTTATAGAATTATAAAAACTGAGGAGAATATAAAAATTGTAAATGTGAAAATTCTGAGAAATCGTACAGACGATTGTAGTTTTTATCTTATTTCTTCAGAAAAAGAAAAGAGGATTATCTGGAAAATAAGGATATCGGATTTTCCTAACATCAGGAATATCTGGGATTTTTCTAGAGTTTTTGGGAACAGTGTAGGAGGTCTCACTACTCTGAAGACAGGATAATAAGATGTCTAAGCAGAGGTTTATGAAATCATTTTTCTACAGGATCTGTAATATTTCTCAGTGTTGTACGAACTAATTTTCCGGAAGAAATTTAAAACAGATGGGATAGCGTCCCCAACTTTTTGGGTTTTTGACTAATCTTGAGGGTCTTTGTTTTGTTTGAGAGGTATTGAACTGCTTTAATTAAGCCTAGCTGACTCAATCTTACTACAACTTGTCTGAAAAAAATTACAATCCATTCCGAGCCGTTCCAGAAAAATTATTTTGCACAACTCTAACTTCCCTGCTCTCCATCAGATTTCTTACTGTAGGAAGCCAAATTGCAATTCTGATCATTGATGGTTTCCTACTCAATTTTTGCTATTCTAAGTATTACATTTTTGATGATAGGTACCCGATAATGACTGTTTTTCGTTTCGCTTTTCAACTAAACTTGTGATTTCTAGGTAACGCAAACATATCATTATAGGTAAAACTAGAATGATGATCTTAGAAAAAAACATGTTTTCAAGAAAAAATGGTCACTACAGTACACCTCTAGTTACCAATTCCGCGTTTTTGGGATACGACACATGTGACCAGTCCAAGGGAAAGGTGATACGTTGGTTAAACCCGTGCAACCTGTTACTTATTGCAGAATGACATAAATTATTAAGCTTAGGTAATCGTGGAGTCCTACGACACACTTTATGCTTTATTGGCACCGTATACCTCATATGCTTTATGAAAAAAGAAAAAATATCATATACATTTCGAAACCAGTCGTTGTGATTTGAAATCAGCTCCCACAAGACTTTTGTTTGACATTAATTTTCTCCAGATTTTCCCAGAAAAGTCACACATCAACTCCAGAAAACCGCCTTTTTCCAAACTAGTTCTCTTTCCCAATCCTAAAAACGAAAACCTGATTTCGGAACTATCAAGAAAAAAAAACCTAATTTTGGAAAGTCAGAATCAGAAGAAAACTACAACAACAATCAGAATTCTGATGTGTCATGTCATTTGAAAAGTGTAAATGTGTGTGTGACACTAGGTGAGTAATTGAAGTCTCTTTGTGACGACATACAATTTTTGTCCTCAAACTCCAATCGAGACTTGTGACGAAACTGCTGAGGATGAATGAGAATGGAAATTTATTGAAAATTAGAGGGACTTCACTCAGAAATCTTTAGATTTTTCAGATTTGTTTCCAAGAACTTACCAGGACGTTGTGGTGCTGTAGAAACCCATAAACATCTTGTTATTCTGAGTTTTCGAAAGGAACATACAGTAGGACAGAGAGGGGGCTCTTCAAAAATTTGTTATTTTTCAGAAGTTTATCAAATTTTCAGAGGTAACAAAGGGAGGTGTTCAAAAGAATCTGAAAAAGGAAGAAAAGTTGGAAAATAGGATGAAAAAGAAGAGAAAAGGTGTCTAGAACATTTCAGGAGACAATGAGAAGAGCCATGTAGTCGTCGTCAACATTCTAGTCACAAAAGGTGTGAATATTCTGGTGAGAAGTGACGAAGAAGCGTTTCTTTTATGACTTCTTGTTGAGTTCTCTTTTTCTCAATGGGAAGGGGACAGATTTCTGGACTTTGAATTCAGAAAGAATTCTTTGTTTTACAAGGGAGAAGGGGAGATGTTTCGAAAAAAGGGCCAGGCAATTTTAGGTCAACTACAGAGTACAATGATGTTATTTTTAGAGTAGAAAGTAGAAAGTAACCTTTTAGTTGGAATAATTTTTCAGGAGTTTCGAATGGAAAAATGAAAAAATACCCACTAATAGAGTTGCATGTCAAAATGTATTTTTATTCAGCTATAGATGTCCAAAGCTATTTCAGAGGTGTCTGAAACTATTCTGAAGGTGGTGATCATTAATAAATAGGCAGATACCTCTGATGGGTTTGAACCTAGGCCCTGCCTGCGCCGGCAACATCACTGACTGCGCCATACGGACATGAAGGTGCGGCAACTTGGCGTATAACCGATGGCGCAGCAGGTAGCGCTTCTGGTAACCTGCCAGTCGGTCCCTGGGTTCAAACTCACCAGAGGTATCTGTTTCAAAATTTTTTTGGAAATTCGTTTTTCGATTTCCTTGAAAGCTTTCCTTTCAAAACAGACAAACCCACTGAATCTTTCAGTCTACAGATACTCTATCGCTAGCCTATCCAAGGGTGCAACTCTATTAGAGATTTTACGGAAGTTTAATAATATTCAAAAAAAGACAAAATCGGCCTTCACCATCGCATCTTTTATACTAAACTTTCCCAGCCTTCTGGAAGAAACGTGAAAAACTCCTTCTTCCAAAAACCTCCAGCTCCAGGAAGCGGAACGAGAGGACGGGCTTCTTCTTCTTGTGAGAACCTATTACATAAATGATTGTGTGTTTATGAATATATGTGTGAATGGAAGTGCGCTCCACTGCACAATCATTTCAGATATGTACATATGCTCTCTTTTCTGTGCTTTGCCTGAGGGCAACTTGTGTCTGGTTTCAAGAATTTCCAGAAAAAAAAAACCCTTTTTTGTTCCAACTTGCTCCTGGTAGTAATTTACCTTATCCCTTCATTTTTCCCCCAAAAAAACAGATCTTCGGTCTACGAACTTTCTCTCCACGAGGAAAAAAAACTCATCGTCATGTCTCATTGGCGTCTTTTTCATGGTTCTCATTAGGCTTGATTATTATTTTTTTCTTGTGCTGCAGACACACAAATACTCGAAAACTTTGGTGAGTAACACAACAAAAAAAATGGACACCTTCAAAACAAGGAAATGAGCGAAAATTAAAGAGGAGGAGAAGGAGATAAATGAGTTTTTTTCTCGTTGTTATTAAATTTTTTAGGCACCGCCGCTAAAATAACAAGAAAAGGATCCAGAGGAGAATGGAGGGATTTATGGATCCGGCAACCGTATCTTTGAAGGTTGAAATGCAGCCGTTAAAGTGCGTGGCACAGCCGGTAAGATGCGTGGCGCAGCCGATAAAGTGACTATCTCTAAACAAGCGTGGCACGTAAGTTTGACCCGTATGGCAATTTTTTTTTCAAAAATTTATGAACTGTAGTTTTGAAATTTTTTTTACCCGGACACGTAGGCCTTGGAGCCATCCTCTTCTTTACGGCTCCTTTCCCATCATAATAAAAATATTTTAGGTCAACAAGTAATCCTATCTCTTTTTCTATTCTTGTTTTCTTCCTGAGACCCCTTTGGTATTAACATTAAACCCTTTTTGCACTACTCCCAGAGACCTCAAACCTCAGAAACCATTTTTTGATATGAGTAATGAAAAATGGAAAAGATTATATGGGACCCAAGTAGAAAAAACGAAAAAAACTCCAAGTGACTCATGACTCAAAAATGGAACAGTAGTATTCGGAGGGGGGAGAACAAAAGAATTGGCGGGATGCTAATGAGATTTTCCCCTTCTCTTTTTTCATTTTTTGTTTCCTTTTGGTGTCTATGAGACGATGTTTTCTGCCGTTTTTCTTTCGAATTTCCGTGTTCTAAATTTGATTTTTGCTTGGTTTGGTTTGCCTAATAATTGTTTATTTCTGTTGTTAGGCGATTTGGAAAGAGGAGGAAGGAGGAGAAATCAAATTTTCACGTCAAACTACAATCGGGAGCAAAATGTATGAATGTTCGGACAGAAATTGGGGAAAGGGATTTCAGGGTTTTTACCAACTCCTGTCGGAATAGAGAAAAGGCTGCGTCTAAAACGGGTCGAGCAAAGATTTTTTTGCAAAATCCTAATTCGATTAGTTGCTTTGAGAAGGAGTGTTTTCAGCAAGAAATTAGGAATTCACAAATCCTAGACAATTTCCTTTTGGCAGTAAAATTGGAAGATGGGAATAAAAAAAATAAAAATTAAAGTTACAGTGGAAAACACCTCTAGCGGGTTCGAACCTAGGCGGTACCGATTCGGCTACCTGACTGACCGCATGGCGCAACTGGTAGCGCCTTTGATGATCTGTTAGGCAGGTTCTAGATTCAAACCCAAAAAAATTTTTTTGTGTTGCTCCCTTCTTTCAAAAAGAAATTGAAGGTTATCAATGAGTTCCAAAAAATCAAAGGCGTCATCTAACATCTATCTACCCTCCCTGAAAGTTCTTTTCAACTCACAAGCTCATTTCGACAAATTCAGTTGAGAACAGGCCAAAATACTTTTTATATGTAGATGAATATGTATGCGAAAAAAACTAAAGCAAAGTTTAGGAGCTGGTAAGTAGGTCAAAAACTTTGCAGCCCATAGCAATACTATGACCACCATTTTACGACCACCCGGAGTTACTGGCAACACGTCTCGCTTCTATTTTCAAAGAGAAAAGTACCGAAATTATTCAAACCGAAAAAAAACTTCCAAAAACCCCATCAATAAGACTCACGGTGATTGTGATGGAGATTCTCTGGACGATTGATTTCCATCGGATTTGGCCTTGCTGGCACGGGAAAGTGGACGGGAGAGGGTGTCGAACACCTGGAATTTTAGGACTTCAACTGAGTTTTCGAATCAAAGCTATACCTTCTCATGGATTTGTTTCTCGCGATTTGTATAGCTCCACTCGGCCATCTCGGAAAGTTTTGGAGGAAAGTCTAGACTATTTGTCTGAAAAACCAAAAATAATTTTAAAAAAAAAGAGCACAAGGAATTCAAAAAAAAAAGTTGAAAAATCAAGAAGTTAAAATCATCCGGAAGGGATAAGCGGTAAGTGTGTGTGCTCCTCCGCAAGCAGCACAAGTTGTACCGGCGGGTTGGGGGGCAAAAGAGCAGGCATTTTTCGATGTTTGTGTACAATCCTGCCAAGTGGAATTGTGGAGAAATTGGGGTGTGGTTGAGCAAAGAAAAGATTAGTAATGTGTCATTATGTTGGGGGTAAAAAGGAAGAAATTTGTCGAAAAAAGAGATATAACAAGAGAAAAAAGAAGAGAAATGTTCCAGGAACTTGGAACATTTTTCTTAGGTTGTTTTGGTGAGGTCGATGGGGGGATAGGCTTGAAAATGTTTCCGGTGTGGTTTCCGGACCAAAGATAGATTAAATGAATTGGATTCTAGAAGGAATTTCTGGGTTTCAGGCTAAGAAATAGGATGACAGAGTTCCAGATTCAGTCTGAGTTCAGTCAGAAAATGCTACTTCGTAATGAAACTAACTATGTCCAAACCAACATTTCCGAAGCGAACAACAACTCGGATCACAGTTCCATTTTTTGGTTAGAAAAGCGATTCCTAGACCTATCTGGGAGCCTAGATACAGCCCGGGTACCATGAGTTAATTTTCAATACGGGCAGCTTGGGGTAGCACCGTCAGGAGAGGTCTGATTTTCGAAATTGAAGCAAATAGGACAGACTGAAAAATGAGATTTTTAACTCAAAAACCAACTGAATTTGCTTTTTTCCCACTTATTCCAGCCATGCCTAGCTCACTGGTTCGGTACCTAGCTTTCCGATTTGGGTGCCAAGCATACTAAGATCATAGCTTTGCCACCTGACATTTCCGTTCTCAGACTGTTTCAGCCAGCCCTAATTTTTCTAGAATTTATGAAGTGCAGCTCTATTAGAGGCCAGACTCTTGCATAAACTTCAAAATAACACCCTTTGTGCAACATGATGCACTAGACCTATCCTTACCCGAAAATAAGTCGTTGCGTAAAAAAACATACACATTTCAAGTTCCTAACATCGTTTTTCTTTTCAATTAGCTAGGCTGCTCTCCAAAAACTGGTCACTAACTCTTTATTTTTCTGCTCATCCTCGCCGTCAAAACTTTAGAGAACACCACCATCCTTCCAAATATTTTGAAAATACTTCCAGGTGTTTTATATTTTCCAAGAACGTTTTTTTTTGGAGAAACTAGAAAAACTAAAAACTAAAAACTACATGAAATTGGAATTCGGAAGCTCCAGACACCCCATGTGAGAGCTTCCGAATTTGGAATGCAAACAAAAATGGCTGAGAGGAGGGGGGACTAGAAAAATGGGGCATGTCTACATATGTACACTATTAAAAAAGGGAAGAAGAAGGGGGTCCTTGACGTCAATCTGGTCATCTGCTGTTCTTTGAGATATATTCAAGTGGCGAAGGAGGAGAAGGAGGACTAGACATTCTATTCAATATCGGAGATTTTATTTTGGGTCCGAAAGGTTCAATGGAACAACTTTTGGAAAAAATGATGTTTCAATTTTGCAACAAAACACAATTTTATAACTCTAAAAGTGACTTTGGTCAATCTCAAATCACGTATAGACTTAGAAGAAAAAAAGTAAAAAAAAATTGGCCTAGACGGGGGTTGAACCCGCGACCAACTTTTCGGAGGACCGTTGCGTTAACCACTAGGCCACCGAGCCATAGGCTTTTGTATCGTAATGAAGCGGCCGCAATCGCTAAATAAGGGGAAATGAAGCAGCCGACACTAATGGGGGTTGAAGCTTGACACTTCGCTCACGGAGCGTTCTCTGAGCGCTCTGGAGTACAGAGCTCCAGAGAGATCCTAATTTGATTCTTATTCGTTTAATAAAGCTGGACTTTTACTCTAAATTTCAAGATTTTCAAATCTTCAGAATCAAAATCAGGTCAAAGTTACACCTTTCGTTATATTCTTGAAAAAAAACTTCTCCATTCATTTTCGCCTTTCAAACGGTGTAAACAACAAGCCATTAGACACACATTTTGGTGGAATGAACATTCTAACGCGTTCTTTCGAGGTTCATTTCCTAAGTGATATGATTTATGATGCTCCACTAAAACAATTTTTTTTCAGGAGAGACAAGACAACAAACTTGAGTTTTGAGATTTGATCAAACGGGGTCAAGAAGGTCTCTTTCAGGGGCGGTTTATATAGTTTTTCAGACAACCGGAGGATTCGGATTAAACATCTCTACCCACCACCGGAACTTTCCATATATCTTGTTACAAAACGTCTTCAGGGGGAGAAAATGTCTCGAAACAACCAAAAATCTGGAGTTGGCAAACTAGCAAAACATGTACAAAGCACAAGAAGAACCTTTTTTGATTTATTAGCTGCCGACAGATTTTTTCAAAGAAAAAAAAAGAAATTCCAGGAAGCGAGGTCAAATAAATCATGCTTTTGGAAGTGGAGAGACTAAAAATAGGAGGAGTTTCTCAGACAAAACGGGGCTTTCTTTTGTGGTGAATGAGCGGAAATCTCGGATTTAGGGATTTTTCGAATTAGTTTATTTGACACAACTCTTCTGAATGTGGCAGGTTGGAATATCTGAGTGCGCGCAAAATTGAGAAATACAAAAATTTTAGCTTTTTCTCTAAAAGAAAACCCAAATCTTAAACAAAAAAAATCCAGGTTCACAGGTCGCTGCTCGGAGCAAAATGAAAAAGCCTTCAAGCTTTTCTTCTCAATGAGCGGAAAGAGAATGGTGGGAGTAAACAGTAAGAGGGTGGGCAAATATCAAGAAGGAAGGGGGAAAAAAGTGGGAGTATATACGGAGGATCAAAAAACTGAACACTTTCTTTTTCTCTGTTTATTTGCCAACACTTCTATCTCTCTCAAGTTAAATTTGGCACCGGGGGGTTAAGAGTGAAAAGTGATGAGTTGAACAGTTATGAGAGTTCAGGTTTTTTGATCATTTAGATATTTGTGAATTCGGGTTTTGAGAGTTTTGTCACAAAGACTTTTTCCGGCTCAGAGTCTTGAGCCGGAAGAAACCCCATCGGAATTATGTAAAATTCGGCAAAATGAGGTGCGATGAGAGCTCAGAGCACAAAATTGTGGGATTTTTTTTTCGATTTTTCAGGTTTTCGTGTCAAAAGTCGTCCCAGGTCGAAAACATTGTCTTTTTGGACAGTTTCGAATTGTATTCCAAAAATGTAGAAACCATTCGACAGAACCAGTGTTGGCCAAAAGCTTACAAGAACGAAAATTCCAAATCTCCCAAAAAAAGTTCCACTAGTCCAAAAACATTGGGTGTGGGAGTAAATTACTCAGTCAGAAAGACAAACAATAGAAGGGAAACATGACAATTTGATTAGTCTCATCAACTAACTCCCACGGGTGGAATCCGCAGAGGTGACGTGGCAGTGAACTTCACGCTCTACAGAACTGACGTAGAACAGAGATCCAGACAAGAAATGATAAATTCTCTGAACGGAATTTGATGAATGACAGCGGTTTCATTAATATATATGAAATAATATGAGTAGTGTAGTATTCGAAGCTAGGTCTTTTTTGAGAAACAGGGACCAAAAATAGCTTTGAAAAACTTTCCCATGGCCAAAAATGGTTGACAAAAACCCGGAAATGTAGAAAGAAGAGGTAATAAACCTGAGTACAAAAAATCATAATTTTCAGAATAATACACCAAAAAAAGCACAACAAATCTGTGACGTATCGCAACTTAATCGTTCTTTTTTCTCCCAATCCATTCACAAGATTCGCCTACTCTGTCAGTCATAAGATGGAATATCCGGTAGGTATCGGGTTTCATTATATACCAACCAACCACAAGACCGCCACTCATTTTTTCGTACTATTGCTGGATGGACCGAAAGTGCTCTTCTATTACAGGTTGCAGCATTCCGTTCCATATCGAAACCAGTAATCTCCACGAGTCCTACGTGAACTAACTCAAAGAAGACAAACAAATAAATTACACACACACCGTTAAGGCAAGCTCATACACATGCACTCCATGAGCATCAACTCACAAGAAGAAATCTGGTAACAAGTGCTTCGACATACAATGTACGTATAGTTGTCAGCTGGGAAAAAAGAATCTGGTTAGAGTAGTGGACATGAAGGGGAGGAAAAGTTGAAAGACTAAGGGGATATGGAGAAGATCAACTTGTTCTTTTGTCTTATTCAATTGGAGTGGTGGGAGGTTGAGAGAAGGGATGAAAGTACATAGACATGAACTTGTCGGAGTTTTTTAAGGAAAGTATTTGCATGGAAAGTTGTAGGAGAGAAGTTCGAGAAGGGTATTTTTTTATAATGCTTTTAGAAGGTACCAAACATCCTAGCAGACTGCTCAAACAAGCAGTCCCAACTGGAAGGGTCAAACTCTAAACCGCCCAAAACAGTTGCAGCCGACATCTCCCGGTTCCTCAGACGGTCCCTTTCCGACTTTTCTCAGTCTCTCTTATTCTAGTGCTGTGGAAAAGAGCGCGGATATGATATCAGTTTTTATCATAATCTCCAATGCAAATAATTACCCTGGATGACGAATTTGAAAATGTTTAAAAAATTCTAAGAGAGCATGAAATGCTTTATACTTTTGAAAAATCTAATTAGTGTTCGATGGATTCCTTGACGGATACACAGTGAATTTTTTTGTACGTGTTTTCAAAAGGTTCCATTCGCGGGCTCTGTCTTACTGATGGTCGCAATATTAACTGCGGCGCGACTCGGCGATATGTAGTCAATTGCCTCAATTTGTTGAAAAATGAAAAAATTAAGGCCTAAGCAATTTTAAAATTAAATTGCATAGAACTTTTTCTTGGTATCATGTTGAATACAATACAGACTGAATTTGATCAAAATTCATCACTGTAAAGTGCTCTGGAAACTCGGTGCGCGCTCCTTCGGCTTACTGTACCATTTTAAAGGCGCAATATAAAATTTGTAACAACTACAAAAATTACTACAAAAGTCCTTGTGAGATGGAGCGTACAATCCGAGAAAAGAAATGTCCGTACAAAAAAATTTACTGTGCGGATAAGATTCAGATATTTGAGGTGACTTTAAGCAAGGACAACAAACGATCTTCAGCATTTTTCTCGTTTGAAAAGACGAGAACAGATTCTTCACATTCCTTTTGTTACATCCAAGATATGTAATTTGTAGAATTAGAGGAGTCGATAGAACATCAACGATTTTTAAAAAGAAAACAAACGTGAAGTAACCATTCTTTTCGTATGTATAAATATAACATTCAGGACAATCTCTTTGAAATCGTAAACAGAATGCAATGGGAATGTAGACCTGCAAAAATGTAATGAAATTCAAAACTATATAGAACTCAGTACAGCCTTCAGCAGTATTGTTGTCAAAAATTGCCAGAAAACGTATTTTTGTGGTCGATCACCTTTGTTATTGGAAGTCAATCGAGTAAGCTTATGATACTTATTATAAATTGGATGTACAGACATGCCGTGCAGAAAAGTACTAATATTGAGCACATATACAGCTGGAAGCAAAAGTGGGTTCTTTTTCCTT